ACTCTTTTCCTTCTCCCTGCTGATAGACCAGTGTTCCCCAACCAGAAAGGAAACCACCAAAAACTAGGACCTGGAGCTGGGAGATGGACTCCTGCATACTCTTGACAACCACAGTGTGAACAGCTTGCTGAAGAAAGGAATGTGCCATCTGGCCATCCCCTGATGTTCAGCTGTTCTGAAGGGACTTTGAGCCTGCATAGTGTGTCATGTCTGAGGTCTGGAGTCCAGCCCCTGTCTACTGCAAGGAGGATGGACATGTCTGTATAAGCCTTGAGGCAGATTGCAGTCTAGTAGCTTGTGTCTGTGCCTTGGTTAGCATTTTATTGCTGCAATAAAACACCTTGACCAAAAGCAACTTAGAAAGGAAAGGGTTTATGTCATCTTACAACTTGTATATCATTATAGGAAGTCAGGGCAGGAACCAATGCGGAGGTCATGGAGGAACAGCTTACTGGCTTGCTCCTCCTGGCTTGCTCAGCCTGCTTTTGTATAGCACACAGGAACACCTGCCCAGGGGTGGCACTGCCCACAATGAGTTGTGTCTTCCCACATCAATCATTAGTTAAGAAAATGCACTACAGGTTTTCCTGCAGGCCTATCAGGTGAGGACATTTTCTCAATTTGGGTTCCCTTTTCCAAAAATAACTCTAGCTGTGTCAAGTTGACATAAAACTAGCCATCACAGGACACTTCTTGTCTAGATGAAGTGACTTGGGCTTTTTAAATTCCTGAGTTAGTTTCTGATATGAGAGAGCGTATTTGGCTGTAAGTAGACTGTCTCTGATGGTGTCTCAGTGAGATATAATGTAGAGAAGCCTGAGTGTGGGACTCCCAGGGCTGCCAGCAAAACTCTGGTATCCTGTGAGAACCTGGCTTCCCATTCTGCACTTTACCCTGGAGTTCTGTGCTTCTATTACAGCTCTTAAGATGACTTTTGTAGCTTTCCGGTTAGAGGCTAGACATTGTACATTTCTTTACTCTGAGAGACAGTTACAGAAATTCTCTCCCATAGCCTTTTCTTTCTTTTTCTGTGGCCACAGCTGGCAGAAGCAGAAGATTCTCAGAACGTTAGCACTTTGCTGCCCCAGACTGAATCAGTGTACCTAGCCTGCTTTGTTGTGGCATCAGAGCTGTGTCCGGGATGTCCTGGTCAACTCCAGGTACCTAGTCTGGCTTGTATCTTGGGAGGCTCTGCTCTCCTGCTTCATCCCTCCAACACATGCACCGTGCCTGAAGACATCCTCTCTACCAGCTGTTAGATTGCTCCTGCACCTACCCTTCTCACCTGATCATTCACTGGACTTCTGAGTACTAGTGTTGCTGGGTATACAGTTTTAGCATGGATATATTTGTGCCTGCTTTTGACCATTTGGGAACAATGTTGCAGTTCTCTGAGTCCTGTGTCTATATCTAGGAGTCTTTTCCCTAGGAAATTATCAGAACCTGGTCTGCTGTGCTATTATGTGCTGTGCTATGCCATGCCATGCCATGCTAGAGACTTCTATAGCAGTTTAGTGTCTTTAGGTTGGTATACTTGGAATTTCCACTTGCAGTGAATCTTGTAATTGTTGATAAGCATGGTGTGTGTGTCGTATGTATATTCATCTCAATAAAATTTTTTCTACCGGTTTTAGTTATAGCTTCTATTGCTGTAAAGAGACACCATGACCACAGCAACTCTGATAAAGGAAAATATTTAATTGGGGATGGCTTATAGTTTTAAAGATTTAGTCAATTATCATCATGGTATGAAGCATGGGGGCATGCAGGCATACTTGGTGCTGAGAAAGGGCTGAGAGTTCTACATCTTGATCTGCAGACAACAAGAAGTGAACTCTCACAGTGGGCATGGCTTGAGCATATATGAATCCTCAAAGTCTGCCTCCACAGTGACACACTTCCTCCAACAAGGCCATACCTACTCCAACAAGAGTACACCTCTAATAGTGCCATTTCTTATGGACCAAGCATTCAAACACATGAGTCTATAGGAACCATACCTATTCAAACCACCACATTCCAAACCCTGACACCCATATACTTGTAGTGATAACATAATGCAAAATGTATTTAGTCCAACTTCAAAAATCCCCATACTTGTTTAAGGTCCAAAGTTCAAAGTCTCTTCTGAGACACATGCAGTGTGTTAAATGTAATCCCCTGTAAAATCAAAATTAAAAAAACAGATCACATATAATGACACGGGATATACATTACAGCTACAAAGTGGAGGAAAGGGAGAATAGTGCAGAAATACTGGACCAAAGCAAGACATAAAGCCAGCTGGACATACTCCAAACTCTGCATCCCTATGTTTGATGTCAAAGAGCTCTTCAGAGCTCCAATTCCTTTCAGCTTTGTTGACTGCAATACACTCCTTTATCTTGGGGTGATTCCACTCCCTATTAGCAGCAGTATCCCATGACTCTGGCATCTCCAACACTTTTGGGTTTCTAAAGCAATCCAGGCTTCAACTTCACAGCTTCACACAGTGGCCTCTCTGGGCCTCCATCTGGAGACAACTCCTGCCACATACCTGACCTCAGTGGCTTACCTTAGTTTTGGAGGGAGATTCCATAACCCCCCCCTTTTTCTGTTCTTGACTCTAAAGCCAGAACCACATAGCCAAAGCTGCCAAGTGCTGCCTCTTCCTGGGGCTGTAACATGGTCTCTTTGTTCAGTTACATCTTCACTACCTTTCTCTTTTTGTTGGTTTCCTTTACTGTCTAAGCTTGGCTGTTTTGGAACTTGTTCTGTAGACCAGGCTGGCCTTAAACCCATGGGTCTTTATGCCCCCTTCTCCTGAGTACTGTAGTTAAAGACGCATCACTATACCTGAACCTAAGCTGTTCTTTAATTCCTTTTTACAAGTTGGAAGCTTAGCTGGGTGGGATCTTGTCCTGAGATCATCACCCCTTGTTTCATTTAACATCAGGCATTTCTTTAATCTATCTCCTTGTACACAGGGTTTAACTCCATTGCACTTCCTGATGCCCCCTTTTTCATCAATTGTATGTTTTATATTTTTTCCTTGCTCAGCTTGCTCCCTTTCATTATAGATCTTCCTAAGAGTGAATCCTAATAGCTGTACCAGGGAGGCAATACTAAGTTATTTTGAGATTTCCTCTGCCAATGGAATTCAAAACTTTTCATTTAGCCTCAAACAGAGTTTTCAGACAAGGGCAAAAAGTAGCCACATTCTTAGCCAAAATATCACAAGAACAAGTCTCTTGACCACATACTAAAATTCTAATCCTCTGAAACCTCTTGAACCTGGCCGCCACAAGTTCAAGTAGCCATCAGCCCCACTGTTTTCACATGTCACTTCTAATGTGGCCATTAAGCTTAACACATTCAACTGTTCTTCTAATCCAAACTCCCAAAGTCCACATTCCTCCAAACAAAAACACGGCCTGTCTTAGTTTGGGTTTCTATTGCTGTGAAGAGACACCATGACCACAACAACTCTTATAAAGGAAAACATTTAATTGGGGCTGGCTTCCAGTTTCTGAGGTTTAGTACATTATCATCATTGTGAGAAGCGTTGCAGTGTGCAGGCAGACTTAGTGCTGGAGAAGGAGGTAAGAGTTCTACATCTTGATCAGTAGGCAACAGGAAGTAGTCTCTCACACTGAGTGTGGCTTGAGCATATAAGAGCCCTCAAAGTTCAATTCTGCAGTGACACATTTCCTCCAACAAGGGCACACCTAATAGTGCCATTTCCTATGAGTAAAGCATTCAACACATGAGTCTATGGGAGCCATTTCTGCTCAAACCACTATACTCCCTCTTGCCAGCATAACCCCACTGAGTTCTTCTGTAGCAGTAACTGGATTTCATTTGCCATGCCATTCTTCAGGGAGAATTATTCCTTACCAGTTGTCTCTCAGCCTGTCATAATTCCTGGTAAATGCCCAGTACTCAGTATTTATAGAGCATTGGCAGCTTTGGGTGTTTCAGTGCTTTAGAAACTAGCTGAAGATACAGTACACCTCGTAAAGGTTCTGGGCCTACCCTAGAAACCTTTACTTGACCTATGCTCCAGTATAGATCTCTGGCTATATGATGCAAGGCACTCACACTGCCAGGGAACTTTACCACGGATCTCCTGAATAGTTGTGTGCTGAACAAGTGCCCAGAAAAGAAGTGACCCAAAAGGATAAGGGTCAGAAGAAAGAACTATGATAGTCAGAATCAGAGTTTGCAAAGCTTACTGATACTCTATGATGTCTCCTCTGTGAGCCATCATCCTTGCTCTCTAAGTCATACTTCTAAGGCCACAGAGAGTGGCAGAATGGGTTGAAACTAAACTCTGCTTTCCCCACAGCTCCAGTGATGAGAACAACCAGGGAGGTCTCTAGGGAGATCATTACAGCCAGCATCCCCAAGCTCTCCAGGGTATCAGAGATAAGCCAGCTTCTAGGACTTTGGAATTCCACATGAAAGAGATACCTTCCTCATCATAGCTCTGAGGCTGGACAGTGTTCACAGCCAGTATGAGGGGCAGAATGAATATCAGAGGTTAAGCAAGAACTCCATGTGTCAGTCAGCAGCAACCATGTGATTCGGGGATGGCTTGAAAATTCTGATGATTGGAAGCCTTCTAAGCCTCAGTATGCCTGTGACCAACTAAGGCTGAAGCAACTCTGGACCCCCAGTATGATCTGGCTCCAGATGGGGCAGACTAAGACAGTGACTCTCAATCTGTGGGTCATAACAACTTTGGTGTCAAAAGACCGTTACAAGGGTCACCTAAGACCACCAGAAAAACAGATATTTACATTACAGTTCATAACAGTAGAAAAATTATAATTATAAAGTAACAATGAAAATAATTTTATGGCTGGGGGTCACCACAACATGAGGAACTCTATTCAAAAGAGTCTGCATTAGGAAGGTTGAGAGCCAATGCTGTAAGACATCTTAGGAAATCCCAGAAGATGTTTCTTTTCATCAGAGGTTAAATAGTAAGTGTCACTTTTCACTTTTTTTCTGCATAGGACAAGACATTTTAAAGAAAGTATTAAGTTCATTCACGAGTGCCGACTCCAGGGTGAGGGCTGTCTTGTGCACTGGTAGGTATGACTCTTTATTGATAATGTTGTCATAAGTTTGACTTCTAATTGGTGTCTTTTATCTTAGCTGTTTATCTAATGCTGTAATAAATCACCATGACCTTATAAAATAAAGCATTTAACTGGGGGCTCATGATTCCAGAAAGTTAAGAGTTCATAACCATCACGGTGAGGAGCATGGCAGCAGGCAGGCAGGTATGCTGCTGGATCAGTAGATGGAAACTTAGGTCTTGATCCACAAGCATGAGGCTGAGAACTAACTGGAATGCCCTGACCTTTTGAAACTTCAGTGCCCAGACAAAGTCACTGTCCTCCCTAGTAACACTTCCAACAAGGCCATACTTCCTAATCCTTCTCAAACTGTTCCACCAACAGGGGACCAAGAATTTAAGTATATGAGTCAACGAGGGCCTTTCTCATTCAAACTAGCACACTCTCTCTATGTGCTTAGTCAGTTCATGTCCTAACAACACTCGGTACATTCTGAATCTCACATGCATCCTGTTCTGCTGCTCTGCTCTGCAGTAGTCCTCGTTTCCTCTTGCTGAAAGAAAACTGGTTTTGCTTTTGTTTTTGTCAGTCACTGTTAGGATTTCTAGAGGTTGTTGTCAAGGTTAGTAGGCATAAAACACTGTCATTCCTAGCTTGACACTTTATTAGAACAGCATCGTATATGTCAGCTGGTCCTGTTGGGCTCACATCGGACCCCATTGTGGCCATTCCGAAGTCCTGCTGACTCTAGTGGCAACTGGCTGCACAGAGATACATTTCTGTAACAACAAAATAATTCCTTTCCACCTTCATGTTGGGGCTTCTGTTGTATGTGTTTGCCTCTAGTACTTTGTAGTGATCCAGGCAGATTTAGGATTAAATATTTTATTGACAGGCACCCACCTTTAGTCTGCTGTGCTTTGTATCATGAATGGAAAGACAACGTTCCATATCCATTGGTTCCAAATCTATAATTTCAACCACAAATCAAAAATATCCAGGAAAAGTGTGTCTATACCAAACATGTACACGTTTTTCTTGTCCTTATTTCCTAAACAATATAGGATAACAGCATCAGCTGTTGAGCTGGCACTTGCATTGTCGTGTGCTGCAGTATCATCTAGAGATCCATGAAAATGTTTGGGAGAGTACACACAGATGGCACTGAGTGTTGTGCCCTTTATGAGACCTTGAACACCGTGGATTCTGGTCTCCACAGCGAGTCCTGAGACTAGTGATTCATGGTCAGAAAGATCACCTGTACTTGTACATAAAACACACACTGACAAGAAAGACAACCCAGCATACTTAGTAAATGTAGTGTTTTACAGTGCTCTGATTTTCACCTACTGAGTTCTAAGTGAGTATTACCATTGGTAATAATAATAATAGCTTGCAACATTCTGAAGCCATGGCTCTGTCATATTTAAAATAGAGATCATGTGTCCCCTCTGTCTTGAGTGATGTATGGTATCAGTTAACTGAAAGTATAAGTCTTGTGACTTAGTGAAAGCAGAAGCACCTCTCTCCACCCCCCTGCAGCACAAACAATGCGAAGTGGTAACTCCTGGTACCTATGTTGGTGGTAGTCCTGCCACCATAGAGTAGACAGAGAAGCCACATCCAAAAGCTCTGAGTCAGTAGTCCACGAAAGCAGAAAAGGACATGAGATGGCTCAATAACTTTAAGAATGGTGTTTTGCAGATTTATGTTTATACATTACATAATGTGCAGTTTTTTGCTATACTGTTTTTAAAAGCAGCTAGTATAATCAATACAAGTGATTATTGTTTCAACCTTCCATTACATTTGGATTAAAGTGTCTTGAGAGAGCAATTGGAAGCAGTTGAAAGAGATTCTAAAACCCCAATCCTCGGCTCTCTCCAGGCTTCTAGTGAATTCATATCAAAAATGTAGCCTAAGAGGATGTATTTGTTTAAAATTCCCTTGCAGTTCCTAATAAAAAGCTCTGGGGATAAGCAAGTGCTCAAGAGGGGGTTTACTATTGTTGTCATTAAAATATTCTAGGACTGTATTCTAAGAATTTTTATTTAATGTATTTGTGTATGTCTGAAATATTTCAGAAAACAAGAAACTCTCTAAGCTTTTTTAAATATTTAGTCATTGATAGAGCACTCTGCACAAGCACAGCCTTCTGTGTCTTAACTTGCATATGCATTTCAAGTTAACCCCTTGATGGTATGAACCAACCAACAAACCAACCACTGATGCTTGCTATGAAGCCTTCAGGATTTGAGTGGAATTGTTGCATAGGGTTGGAAGCCATAAGCACCTCACTATGCTGCAATTACATTATTGCCCAAGAAAACAGAGACTATCCAGGCTGTTATCCTATAGAAAAACTATAGAAAAGGAGGCTGAAATGCATTTAGGATGGTTAAACTCCCGCAGAGCTGGGGTAGAGCAAAGTTCTTGGTATATTCCTGAGTAATTCTCTGGTAAGCCCTTGCCTGCTTTCATGAAAGCCTCAAGGTAGACAGACTTTCTAAAATGAGGTCCTTTGGATGGGTGGAGTGGTGGATCTACAGTTCTCAAACTGTTCTTGCAACATGTAGTTGTCTTGGTTCTGCAGCCTGGCTGGGGTCTCCAGGAGTGTGACACTAGTGATTGCATACATCATGACTGTCACCGACTTTGGTTGGGAAGATGCCTTGCACACTGTTCGAGCAGGGAGGTCTTGTGCCAACCCCAACCTGGGCTTCCAAAGACAGTTGCAGGAGTTTGAGAAATATGAAGTGCACCAGGTGAGTAGTTCTTGGGGAATTTTTCAGATGTAGACAGCCACTCTGGGCCATGCCTTGCACTTTGAGAATTGTGTCACTTGGAACTGAAAGGTCTGCAGAAATTATGGGATCCAATGTCTTCCACTGCATCCCTGAGGGAGTCCTCCCGAATCTCTGGGAGAGTCTTCCTGCATCTCTGAGAGTCTTCCCTCATCCCTGGGGGAGTCTTTCCGCATCCCTGGGAGTCTTCCTGCATCCCTGGGGGAAGACTTCCCTCATCCCTGAGAGAGTCTTCCCGCATCTCTGAAGGAGTCTTCCCACATGTGGCTGTGTCTGGTTCTCCATGGCTGCTTGTTTCTCTCCCTCTGGGTGTGGTTACCATTTCCTGGTTTGGCCTACTTTCTTCTTATTTTTCTTTTTCATATCTCAGTCTTTAAGCTGTTAAAATCAACCAGGTGAGAGTGGAAGCGGTTATTTCCCATACTAATTATGGCAACTCAAGTATCAGGTTCTTGGCTGGGGTCACCTTTCTACGAGGTCATTCTGAAGTGCAAACCATAACTCTTCCTATTTTCTCTCTGCATTCTTTTCTTCATTCCTGGCTGTCACAGGCAGATGGCATAAGAACACATTTTTTCTTGCATCCATTTTAGACTCCTTAACTGCAGACAGTAACTGCTCCAAGTTTGCTAAGTAGATGGATAGTTCAGCAGATTTTCAAGTCTTGAGCCCAGATTGTTGAAGGAACAGCTCGTTTTTTTGCTTGCCATTGGCTGTCAACCACAACGCTGTGATTGCCTGATGCCCTTTTATTTTCATTCCCATGCTTATTTGTGGAAACTTCACCATTTCTTAAGTGAAAGTCACTCTGTGTGTGTGTGTCTGTCTGTCTGTCTGTCTGTCTGTCTGTCTGTCTGTCTGTGTGACATTTGGGATTTGTTTCCACTTTTCCAGTATCGACAGTGGCTGAAAGAAGAATATGGAGAGAACCCTTTGCGGGATGCAGAAGAAGCCAAAAGTATTCTGGGTAAATATAAAGAGCAAGGGCGCATGGAGCCCCGGCCTAGCACCAGGCGGTGGAGCAGCTTTTCAACCCTGTCTCCTCTGACCTACAATAACTACACGACAGAGACCTAACAGAGAGATCTGATGTTTCCTTCCTGCTCCGGGTCTTCTGGGTTGCCTACAGGCTGGTGTGCCTGGTGTGCTGGTTACTGCCTCTAAGGACTACAAAAGGAGGTCACAGTGAGGTGGACCACGCAGGGCTCCTTCCCCAGCAACCCTACCCTGCCCTGCTCAAGGCCTTTTCATGCTACCCATCTTCACCCAATCTTGGCCTCTCCTGAGTCTGCTGTGCCTGCGATGCTGCTGGACTGCTGTGTATGTAATAGTATGGATGTGCATGCATGTGTGTAAGAGTGTGCCTATGTGCCTACAGTTGTATGCATCATGAAAGAATATACATGTAAATGTGTCTTGGCATGTGAGAACTGAGTTTTTGTGGTGCTGAAAGTTATAAATCCCCTGCTGCCAGGATAGGGATGGCCACTTTTTGTTCAACTCCACATTGAAGTCATTTGAAGTTGGCCTCTGAAAAGCTACTCACCAAGAAACAGCTCATACCTGTGAGTAGTGAGAACTCAGGGCATGAGCAGCTGGAAGCAGTGGTGTTCCAGAGCCTGAGATGATGGGGAGGAGGAAGGGACTGAGCCCTTCCGCAGAAGGGTGGAATAATTCCCACAGAAATATGGTGTGTAGGGACGGGAGGGGACTTCTGAGAATTGCCTTGGGCTTGCTAAGTCTATCAGACCATAGCCTCCTTGCTGCCTCAAATCATACTCCACTTACCAGCCGGTCATAGTCCTGAGTTCCACTTGGTGCCTGCTCTGTGCGGGACCAGCATCATTTGAGCTCCATTGTAACAAGGAGAACCTGAGCTACGTAGCCCTGCACCAGAGGTCTGGCTTGCTTCCTGTTTGCTCTTACGTACTCCAGCTCTAGCTGGCCTCCTGCTGCAGGGATCCAGTCTCAGGTTTGCATGTACCTGCAGGAGTTGCAAAGAAATCAGTTATTAGACACCATAGCAGTTTGTGTTTCAAAATGCCTGAGCATTTACTAAGCTTGTTGGTGTAGCCTGTGGACTTGATCTTTGACCTCAGCTACCTCATTAGATTTCTTTCTGTCTCTTTTCCTTAAGGCTAGAGTTTCTTTGGTATCCCTGTCAATTCTGCTTCATAGTTGAAAATGTTAGTCATGTTGCTTTTACTTTTGAAACCAAAGAGAAAGACACTTATGTCATTGAGTTACTAAGCCTTTTCAATTTGGGCTTCCCTGAGGTTTTCAAACCCCAGATTCTGGTCATGAGAACTCCTCAGCTTGAAGTTTGTGGCAGCAGGCCCCCAGGAAGCTATGCACAGTCCAGTCCTTTAGGCCAGCTCACATTTATTAAGCATGCAGAGCCATATGGGTGAAAATATACACTTAATCTCTCCCTAAAAAGATGCTGCAATCCAGTTTCTCTGAATCCCATCTCAAAAGGAGTCAAACAAGAAGTGCAGTCCTCCTGTGTGTTTAGAGCGTGTCAAATTTGAGCTTTTGGGGCCCAGGGAAAGTGAGGTTGCCAACTCTCTGTGTGTGCAGACCCTGTGTGTGTAGTGAGAAATGTGTCTATGAACGCACCATCTCCAACTAAAATAATCTGCTTCTAAAAAGGAGCTAGGAACGCTGGTAGGAGAGCTGCTAGTGCCACGGGGTAGATGTGAGGCCCTGGCACTGCAGAGGGTCGAGCACCGAGCAGTGGGGCAGTGAAGTAAAGCCTAATTATGTGTACACGCGTGTGAACAGCTGCATGTATTTCTGTAGACTCTCAACTGTCTTAGCTTTGTTGCCAGTAACGTTCTTTCTCCGCAGCCGCCCCGGGAATTCTGAAGTACTGGGCCTTTCTCAGAAGACTGTAATGTACCTGACGTTTCTGAAATATTGCAAAGTTCAGGCTGGTGCTGCCAAAAAAAAGTGACGCAGAGTTTATTTTTAAGTGTCCAGTAGTAATTTGTAAACTTGTTTGTTTTTCATTTTAAATTGAATGCATGTATAATCATGTTGGAATACATTCGGAACTATGGAGATTTTGTAGCAAGAAAAAATACCTTTGCCTTAACTCCACTGCTGTGGTGGACCTTCGATCCGACGGATGCCTGTAGAATAATCTCAAGAGCTCCATCACACTACTGTGTTCTGTTTCATAACAGTAACGGCTTCTCATGAACACAACCCAGGATGAAAAGCTGGCACCTGGGGAATATGTAGCGCGAACTCTACCCTCCTGTTAGGTTCTCCAGCTCAAGACATGTCTCTCAGTGTGTGTTTCATCCATGGTTGTTCTCCATGGTAGAATTGCCAAACACTACTCACTTTCATTAATAAAGGGCAAGTCAACCAAGTCTAACATCATGTGCAATGTATTTTTATGTGACATGTGAAGGTCACGTGTGCTTCTCTGTGCAGGATCACAATGCACCTGGTCTTAGCACAAAGACATGTTTCCCTCCAGAAGCAGACAGCGTGTGTTAGGAAGAACATACTGTTGGATGGCTAAAAGAGAAATAAAAATGTCTTGGGATTTCTGGGGCTGGAGATGTAGCTCAGACTAAAGCCCATACCTTCTATCTTTTATCCCTAGCAGCCAAAAAAGAAAACTCCATTTGTAGGTGTAAAGAAGTTCAGACACAGAAGTGAAACTTTCCCTGCAGAATGAAGATTGAGTATTTGGTCTCTCTGGGTTAGTGCATGTACCACAGGGATACACTGTCCAAACAGTCCACAAGCTCATTCCAAATCCATTTTCAGTTCTTAATATGAAAGAACTCAAAACTTTCCTACAGAGCAATTTAAGGCCAGCTACTAAATTTTCCTAGTCTAAATCTGGTGAGGGTTAACTTAAAGGAAAGGCAGGTGATGTCAGGAGCCACACCTGCTGTGACACTGTGGGGACAGTGAGACAGCACAAGCCAGGTCCCATCACAGTCTCAGGAGAACTGTCATGCCTACATCAGTGTAAGAAACCCAGGGGAAAAACAGTTCTTTGGCCGCAACCAAGTCCCCCTGAGCCAATACCACTTGTAGCCTAACATCCCACAATACCACTTGTAGCCTAACGTCCCTTCCTGCTTATCTCACCATGAAACCACGTCAGATGCTAACAATCACCATTCCTACACTTTCTAAACTTAGAAAAGGAGATATTTCACTCCCTGAAGGTGCAGACCAGAAACTTGGCACCTACCTTCATGGTAAGTTCCTGGGTAGCATTCATGTTGCTTTTGTCTGGAAGTTCCCTGCCTTAGGATGGCATTGATGTGGTTAGACTAGAAGCCCGAGCTCTTTGTCTTTACAACATGGAACTGTACACATATGTGGGGACTTTGGCTTGTAAGATTAGGTGGGTCATGGTCCAGTGCAGCTCTCTGGCTGGTTTTCTTCAAACACAGATCTATTACAGCCTGTAACTTAGCATCACTATCCACAGAGGGAAACAGAATTCACCTCATTCCTTCATTGACCTGATGCATCTGTCTTCATCCCAGCGGGACCCCAGGACTGTAAGCTAGGGTAGAGGTGGCCAAACAATGCGGTAGTGTAATCCAAACTTTTCCAGTAATAACATGGAGACTTATTATTAATTATAAAAGTCCAGCTTATAGCTGGCCTTGTTAGTAACCAGCTCTTACAACTTAAACTAACCCATTTTTTGTCAATCTGCTTTTTTTCTCGTGACTTTATTACCTTTACTCTGTTCTGTCTATGCTGCTTCCTCTCCATCTGCCTGGCAGCCCCCTCTTTCTTCTTCCCAGCATCCCGTGTGCCTGAAAATCCTGTCTAGCTATTGGCCATTCAGCTTTTCATTAATCCAATCAGAATGACACATCTTTCCAGTGTACAAAAAGATTATTCCACATTAGGACAGAACCAGTGCAGCTGACCCTGATGCCATGCGGTAGAAAACACTTCTCCTGTTTTAGGGGACAGAAGTGTTAAGGGAGGGCATCTCGAAAATAGTACAGCCTCATTTGAGACCTGACATCTAAGTCATAGAGTCATGTGATGTGAAGGAATGAGAACCTAGGCTGCGACTACACAGGTGAGGAAACCTGAAGGTGTGAGAACTCAGTATTGGGAGCCACAAGCCATCCCCGGTGACTAGAAAGCCCAGAGCACAGGCAGTGGTGAGGACCTGCAGTCCAGGCTGGGAAAAGCCTGGCCTGGCCAGTTCAGTGCTGGTATAGGCTTGACTCCCTTACCTGGAATGCGAGGGACTGGAACTGGTTTGGATTTGGGTTGGTTTACTGATTAGAACAGTTTCATGAGTACCATGAGCTATCCATAAATCTAAGATACATTTGCTTCATGTGTACCTTGAACACATAAACATGACGTATTGACTCAGAAGGTAATTTTTTTTATACTTTGTCAGTACATCTGTGTTTTTACTGTTGCTTTTTGCTTCAGATATCAAGTATGAAATTTTTTTCCATTTGTGGAAAGCATTAGTGCTCAAAATAGATTTGGGAGCATTGTGGGTTCCTCGTGTTTTAGGTTTTCAAGGCAGTCACCTGTAGTGGCGGCCAGTTGTCACTTGCCGCTGCCCCACAACCATCACTTCCCACTGGCCTTTGCTCACCTTCTGTGGCTTAGTCCTGAGCCGAGGACATCACACGAGCTGAGGGCCATCGACTAATTCCCTGGATACTTCAGGAACTCATTGAATAAGACTGAACAAGCAGGTGTGTGGTCCATGTGCATGTGGAGGGCTGGCTAGTGTCACACAAATGAAATGTGAAATAGTATATTCTGAGCCAAATTAGACTATCCATGGCTCAAGGACAGGCTCAGGTTGTCCTGAATGGCATGTTCCACCATGAAGTCAGTTACATTCATGATTTTGTATAGTTACAAAATGAAAGTCAAATTAGTGCATACACCAACCCATTAGCAGTGACACCAGATGTGCAGGTTTCAGTATAATGGGGAGATCACTGCTATAGGTCTCAGATGGTACCCAGTGATATTCCTAGCTTTGAGTTTGATGGAAGCTACTGGGCTGCTAAGTCAATTTAATCCAGATGTTTTACCTGATAGAATGATGTCAGATATAGAGGTGGGTGATAAATGACTACTGTGGGGACCAAAGAACCCAAGATGATGTTGGCTCTGGATCCAGCATTCCATCTCTGCCATCTGTTACTCAGTCTAGAGAATTTCATTTCACACTCAGAGACGCATGCGGAGGCAGCTGTGACCACCATCCAGGTGAGAGGAAGTGTTACCCTGAACTGGGTCATGCCAATGGTGATGAGACCACCCTACACACGAGCAGGTAGACTGGGCTTGAGAGAGACTAGGAGAGACAAGAATTGAAGGACTGTGTGGGGGAAGTGAGGGCTTAGGGACCTGACTGCTCTCTGGGAGCTTGCTGCCAACACTGGTACTTTAGTATTGTGTCTCCTGCACTACATGGTAGTGTGCCTCTGCCGTGTTAAGGTTTGGTGTAGGGGAAATGCTAACGAAGAAACTAACAGGTCTCCAAGGAAGCTCATCCCTGTGTGCAAGCAGCTCTGCACAGTAAATACTCAAGCTTATCCATCCACCCAGAACAGTCCCAGGAACCAGACTCATTCACCTTAATGTACAGGTCAGTCTCCAATTTTGTCTCCTGGCCAGGCAATCTCTCCTACTGCCAGAACTCCTGGGGGAATCACCTTGACCCTCGGGCTCCTGTTCTAGTTACTTTTTGTTAGCTTCACACGAGATGAGGTCATCTGGGAAGAAAGTACATCATTTAAGAAAATTCCTCCATCAGATTATCCTGGAAGCAATTCTGTGGGGGCATTTTCCTGACCAATGCTGAAGGGCCCAGCTCACTATGGGTGTACGTCAAGCCCTGGACACATGGTCCAGGGTCTGTAAGAAAATAAACTGAGCAAGCTAAGAAGAGCAAGCCTGCTGCTTCTGCTCCAGTTCCTGCCTCCTGATACCTACCTCGAATTCCTGTCCTGACTTCCCAGGATGATGAACAGCCCACTGTATGAGGACGTAAACCCTTTCTTACCAAGTTGCTTTTGACCATGGTATTTGTCATAGCAACAGAAAACAAACTAGGCCATGCCTCTGCAGTAAGACTGGCTAGTCAGAATGTGAACCTGAGAGCTGGGGACCTTGCCCTGCCCTGGCTGCATACCCAGGCAGGAGTGCTGTTGCTACAGCCAATACTATGTACAGGGAAGTCCTACACATTTCCTGAAGGCTCCTCCTCCCCTTGCTAGGAAAGACTGCTTCTTCCAGCAAGACACCTCTGATGGGTGGCAGGCAGATCACCATGTTCACACCATGTGCTCTGCCAAAGCTGCCGACAATGTGTCACATCTCTCAGAATCTCAACCTTAAATTTGGCATTTGCACTTTTCCCTGAAGAAAAGTGCTAGTGACTTTTTAGTTTACTGAGCAATGACTCTTTTTCATTTGTCTTGGCAGGAAACCTGTTACCATCCACAGGTGAGTTCGGTTGATGCGATTGGGAGCATACATGCATGCACTCAAAGTGTTTGTTTTTATTGGTGCTTTTATGTTTGTTTATTCATTTCAAAGAACCTTTAACCTCCATGGGAGTAACATGTACCATGTCTAGGAAATGCCAAGCTCAAATACCTGGACATTCAGGTCTTCGGTTGGTACCTGTCAGTAGCCTAGGAAGCATCTGAGCCAGAGCTGGTTACCAACTGTCACTTTGCATGCCAGCCTTTGGTCATAGAAATAGGGAACACACAGAGAGTCACACCCTTGCCATCCCACATCAGATGGCTCCTCCCATCCTGACCCTGAGTTATTAATAATTTTATTAAGAATGTGCTTTCAACACTCTGGTATTTATATATGTACTTAACAAGAAATCACCAAGACTGCAAAGGGTGGTTCCGCTTCCCTTATTGCCAGAGAAAGGGAGAAACAAGAAATGTGCCCTTGACTCCTTACTTGGAAACTTCTTTCCCCTCTTCCACTCAGGCATCTCCTGGTCCTCAGATGAGCCAGCCCACAGCCAAGGACATGGGCAGTGTCATACATGGGCACCATCTGGTGCCCTGGCGCTGTTCACAGTGCTCTCTTGTCTCGCTGTCACAGGTGAAGACCTTGAGTGATGCCAAGTAATAGGGTGAGATTATTTCAGTGTCAGTGTTGCCAGTATCATAGTGCCCTTTCTTCTTGCATCCAGGTTCAGGGGGCTGCAGGAAACATCTGATAGTACTCTTGGGTGCTGAGCCCGCATCTTTCCATCATGGGAAAGACCTGCCAGCACATGATTGAACATCTGCAAGTTGAGGTTTATTTTGGCCCCAGGTCTCTATGCAAACTATTGAGCATACGAGTTAGTAGCTCACAGTTAATTTTCCTGAG